TGATACAATTCCATAGACTTTATTTGATGACTTTTCATCAACTGGTCCACATAATCCTAAATCTGTAATATAACAACAACCTGCATCCACAAGTATATTACCACTATGTAAATCACAATGGATTAAATCTTTTTCATGTATCTGATATAATGCACTGCATAAATAATGAAATATAGTAACTCTGTCTTTTAATGTTAAATGACTTTTTTGTAAATAATCCCTTAAATTTCCATCCAAATAATTTAAAACAATTGCATAATTTCCATTATCTGGGAATTTAGTTATACCATAGCAACTAACAATCAACCCTGATTTAATTTTAGAATAATTCATTGCCTAAAATAAATATAAAATCGATTAGTATTATATAATACAGCACTGTTTATTTTAAATGACAACTACCAACCTCATCAAAAAAGCTTTTTCCTGGATGACTTGAATCATTCAAACTTTTTAATACTACATATTATGCTCCAAGATAGCTAAATTCCTTTTTATTTTCGTCGTAATCATTTATTTGTCCCCTTATCCATGTAGCAGTATAAATTGAACTAAATCCGCCTTCTGTCAACTTTGTTATATCTTCAAATTCCTCAAAAGGTATCCATTCTAAAATATGGTTTGGCAGAGATGATTTCATTTGAGATTGTTGAATAAAGTTATCAATTATGTTATTTCCAGATGTCCAAGTGGTGAAAAGACTCTGTAATTGTAAACTAATACAACCTTCACAGAACCTATCAGAGTATCTTGTCAACTCACACTTGTTACATTCTTTTGGTTTTCCAAGTTTATATGTAACATTATCTAATTCAAACTCATAAATAAACTTTTCCTTGCAATATTCTTTTTCATTTCCAGAAAGCTCCTTATTTTTCATGACTAATGAGTAAAATAATCTTTTATACTTCTCTATCAGAATTAGCATTAGCATTATTACGCATTTCATTGTCAATTTTATATACAAAATTCTTTCTTTCTGGTGATGATGATGATAAGAGTTTAGCATATGACATTATATAAAAATAAAATATAAAATTCGACTTGGTGTTTTTAATAAATGTGGAGATTTTGCGGAGAATTGTAACAAACGATTTGTTTTTTATATATATTTGATTGCCTTTTAAAAGGATTAATTGATAAGGAAAAAATTGCATTCATCATCATCACCAATCAATTTATCACGATTCAACAGTAAAAAAAATTCTTTGAAGATAAAAATAGAAAACGAAATTAAAACTTATAAAAATATGTACCAAAACTGTCTTATGTGCTATGTAAATGTCATTACCAAATATTGATCGATATATATTGCTTCAAACTCAGACATTAAAGACAGCTCAAGCACATTATTAATATTATTGCGTATCGCTATTACGCGTAGCTAACTTCAAAAGTCAAAAATATTAATTTGACACAACTCATATGTATGTAAAAACAATTTGATTATATTCCAATAATAAAAGGATAGTTTTAATTTGTAAAAAAGAAGAGATATTTTTATTTTGAATGAAAATGTACGGAAAAAAACAAGTAGTTTAATTAGTTAGGTAAAAGTTTTAATTCAAATTATAACATTTGTAAACTTCCACGATAATTATTCTTCTTGCATCAATGCAATATACATACAATGATATAATAATTCTTTATTCATACCCGGGACACACATTATCATTATTGCTGCTTGTATCAAGTGCTTTACTTGTATCAAGCATTTTTCTTACGTCAAGTGTTTTTAATTACGTCAAATAGTTTTACTTACGACAAGGACTTTTACTTTAGTCAAATCGTCAGATGGCCCGGCGAGAAACTACCTTTAGTCAGTACTTTAGTTACGTCAATGACTAAAGTCAAAGTTTCGACATACATCATTAACCTGTTGTAAAAATATTTTTCTTTTTTGCATTTTTACACCAGCTGCATAAACACTGTCATCTTTATATTACGATCTTCACTTTTTTCAAGCCAAGGTAAAGTCGTAACCAATTTGGATCAAAATCTTCACGTATTTTTTTATTTAATTCTTGTCTGGTTATTTCCTTATTTTTTTCGCTTTTGTGTAGTTGCTACCTGTTTGGATCCTCAATTACTTTTTTCTTTATTTTCACAAATTTATCCATTATCGAATACTTTTCAAAAGCTTTAATGTGATAAAAAGATATCTTGTATTTGAAAAAGTTCACCAGAAAAAACATTGCGAAAAAAAAGTAATATTTTTTGAATTTGTGAACTGATATTTATATATATATATATATAATTTAATTAATTGTTATTATTTATTTTATTTATTTGATCTAACTGAATTCCCGCAAAATTTACAAAAAATTGAAGTTAAAACCGAGAATATGCAAGTTTTCATATTTTGGTATGTTACAAATACTTTAGTCTGTATATTTTTGTTCCTTGTGATTTGATTGTAAAGGTTTCGTTTGTTTTTTCCCATGCCTTGTGCATGCGAAGTAGCCGATCCCGACAATAACAATAAATGGTCATAGTATTTTATGCCTTATGGTTTTATGTTATCGTCGTCAATGATAATTGTTTGAAAAGGGAAATAAATCTAAAAGGGGGTTTTTTTATTATTTATTTATTCTATGTGGCGACGAATAAAAAAAAGATGTACAAAATTTATTATACATACTAATATATATTACATATTGTGATGCATACGTCAACCTACAAGATAGAACAGCGTATTCTTCGTGTAGTCGACCGCGTTATATTCGTTAAAAAATTCCTTGTACTGGACCTCCCGAATGTGGTCGAGCTTGTTTTATACAGGACACTTCCACTTATTACAATTTCCGTGGAAGAGACAGTCTTGATGAACTATGTAGATAAAAAAATGGAAGACATGCTTTTTTTTTTTTAGTTAGCTATTTGTTTTGTTTTTTGTTTTTTTAACCAAACACTAAGATTTCACTGCCCTCTCTTAAATTCATAAAATTCAGCCATACTATATAATAAAATAATGTTTTTACTTCTTACTTTGTAAACCTTCAAATAGAATAATGACACCCTTTGATCCAAAAAATTTTGGTTCCCCAAATTGAAAGAGAAGCTAATTTGAGTTTCATTTTAATTAAGCATTATGTTTTTTTGCTAACATCTCTTCTTTAAAGGTACTATGGGTTCCAAGACTGCCCAAACGTGAGAGTTAGTTAGGCTCGATGATAGATTTATTACATTATCGTTATTGTTGTTATCATTACTGATCCAGATTATATCTAAAAAAATAAAAGGTAATATAATTAGAATTTTTGGTTTATTTCATTTTATCTATTAACTAAAAAAGAATTTTATTAAAGCAATACAGATTTCTAACATTGTATTTTCTCCAAAAACGAATCTATTGTTACGCGCCATCTATTAATGGTAATAGGTAATACCATCGTATATTTGTTGTCTTCCTATAGTTGATCAACTAACTAATGGTAGTAAGTAATGAATGATAATATTATTAATGATAATTCTTATTGTACAGTGTGTTACGAAAAAATTGCGCACACAAAAAAATCGAATATACACACGATAATAATAAAATAAAAAATTAGATTCATTTGAAAGTCAAATCAATTAATTACTTTATTTAACTCGATACAAAATAATATTGCTTTTTCAAACTTCTTTTAAATTTTTGTCTCTGAAATTTTAACATGGAAATTTTTTAACAATTGCTTTGACACAAAAACACACATAATAATTATACAAAAAAAAATATATCAATTCAGGATTATGGATATAAAATTATATGTATCCATATTTTCTAGAACTCCATCAGTTAAAAATAAAAGAAATTCGATTAATTTTGAAAAGAAAAATTTTAATCATTACTATAAAACCTACATAATAATATGCTTCAAAATTTTTATATATTTAATAAATAGTTTTAAAATCTTGAACCCAATTTTTATAATGTGGCTTTGGATTAACAAAATTTACGGCGCAATTGTTTTCGTAACACACTGTATATAATAATAACATTGTGCCAATATTTGTCCTCAAAAAAATAGATACGCGTACTATTAATGATATATTCTTATTGTAACGTTCGTCTTCTTCAAAAAATAGATTTATGGTTAAACATATCATTGTTACGCGACTAATAGAAACAAACAATAATATTACATTATAATAAATTTATGTATATTTGTGTAAATCCTACATTAAAAAATTTTTCTTGTATGTTGAGTAATTACTTTTATATGTGAAACTGCTGTTGGGGACTTTGGCAATAAAAAATCTTCACTACGAAAGAAAAAGAAAAGAAATTTCTGAAATCATTTTTTTCAACATTTCTTCATCTTAAAGTTCGATCTTTTTTCTTTTTTGGTTATATATATCACATAATATTAAAAATATGTAAACATAAAAATAAAACGAGCTATTATAATCTGGCTATATCCCACGCTTCTTTTATTAATCATATTTTATAACCTGATTCTCGCATATCTTAAAAAGAAAAAATATCAAATAGATAATAAGGAAGTTGGATTTTTTTTTTTTTAGAGTCACGTTTGTACAAATATTTTTTAGTTTACGATTTTCATTTTTAAATTTTTAAGCATGTGTCTCTGTAGACATGATCAAATCGGCCTTCGAGTTCTTTATGAACCTCGGATTCTGTTCCAGACAACAAATACCATCATATAAGTACCACAACATATAAAAACAAATAGATTATAACTTGAAGGTTCAATAAAAAATGTATCATGTTGGGAAGCATATGCTTTTCGAAGAATTCCTCAGCTTTCTCCTTGTTTAAATCACCAACAGTATATAGGGGTTACGCGAGAAACATGCAACACCGTAAGTAACAAATGTACAAGTATGACCACCAAAGAAACTTACTTTTTTAAAAAAAGAATGAATTTGAAGTGGTAAGCACTACATAAAAGTGTTCCTCTCGTTTCGTATTTTTCATCGGCGAATCAAAAAATGACTCGAGAATAATTGCACTATCAAGTTGGCTGAACTTGTTTACCTCGCCAATGACTAAAATTCCCGAAAGGAAGGCGATTATAAATATTATCAAGTAACTCAATGATACCTTTAGCGGTTCTTTCGGAAGTTTGTGATTTTAGATTTAAATTGGCTGATAAAGTGTTTGTAGAAATTTCTGAAAAACAATTCTTATTTCGTTCAAAAGTGAATAGTACAAATTTGTTGGTGGGTTAAATTGTCCACCACGGAGGTCAACAAACAGAGGATTAAAATTAACCCTATTCACTACCTTGTAGACCAAAGAGATTTCCCCGTTGCTGGGAGGTCCTAAGACGACGTGAACATGATAGTTAAATAATGCTTTTGTAAACTTGGTAAGTTCTCGTTGAAAAAGGGGTTTCCACGATCATTAAACGCCGTAAAACGAGCGACACAATTGTTTCCGAGTGCAGTTGGTAAGATATAGTTATGAACATAACTCTAATTTTTTTTTTATGAAAAAATTAGCATTATACGCCTATCGCTTATAAATTGGATCCTGTTCCTTGTTACACGATCAAAGCTAATTTTATTGGCCAACAGGAAACAGAACAGTGGAACAACAAATTTGCCGTCACCAAGAGATTGGAACTTCTAATCTTCCAATTATAGAAGGTTGGAAGGCATATTATGTCATCAATACTGCTATCCAACCAAAAATTAATTACGTAACCAATAACTGACGCGATTTCAAATGATTGTGGCTTTTTGTTTGCAAAACGTAGTCTAACCTTTTCATGCAAACAGCATATTCATTTTATTTTGTTTGCTTAATACTTTAACATATATCTTTGTCAAATGATGGTTTTTGGCTTCGTTGTAATTGGTTTTGAGAAATAAACAATAATTAAACTAATTATTTATTTTTTTGTTTTCCTCGATTTAATTATCTGTCGATTCACCTTTCCATGCTTCCCAAAAAAATCAGTTTAGTAAAAATCAAAAATAGATGAATGAAAGACTTTTCTGTAATCAGAAATTATTATATAGCAATAATCAACACCCTTAAATAAAAAAGGTTCCATTTTGAAAACAGTCAAAAAACGGGAAAATTTGATAAAATTAATTTTTAATTATTTTGAATTTTATTGGCACATAAACTATTGGAAGGCCTGTGACTTTCAAGTCTTCCAAAAATTTCCATTGGAAGCTTCCAACGTCGCCCAACATGAAAATTTCTAGTTTATTTTTTGTTCAATGAAATTTATTTAATTGTGTGTGTGTATATATACATATATATATATACATATATATATATATATATACTTACATTAATAATTAATAATAAATAATATTTATACTTATTATTATTATAAAAAATTTATATTAATTTTTTAATTACTTTCAAAAAAAAAAATATTATTTACAAAGAAAATTAATATTTCTTTAACCAAAAAAAAATCTTATTGTTTATATTTTATAATATATAATTTGATTATTGTGAACAAATGGTTGTTGAGTTGTGTAAATTTTGTTTCTACCTGCAAAAATTAAAAAAAAATTTTTAATTTTCAAAAATCCGGGAAAAAAAATAAAAAAAAAAAGTAAAAATTTCAACTTACCATCCATCAATGGATCTTCATAATCTTCATAATTGTCATTATAGTCATCATAATCAGCGTAATGTTTTTCATTAATAATATCTTGTTTATCGTCGTCAAATTTTTTTGGCGATAATTCACATTCTATTATAGTAGCGGCTGAGTTATCAGGCTCAATATAAAAAAAGAATCGATCTGCAGCTTTTTGTTTCCTTTTTAGTAGATCTGTATAGATCGCTGTACGACCAGATTCGATCATCGAAGGTGTTCGTAATTGTTCAAGATTCACGTTATGATGTATAAAAGATTCTAAAAACAAGTAACAAAGAAATAAACATTAAGGAGTGTTTCAAAAAAAAATTAATTATATAAAGTAAAAATATTATTATGATTACCATTGGATTTAAACGTTTCAGCTGATTTTTGTCGATGTAACGATGTATCTGAACCTGTTTTTAGATTAGGACGTAAATCTACAATAAAAAAAAGAAAAAATGGTAATTAGATGATGATCAATAATAAAAAGAATTAATAATAATGATAAAATATAGATTAATAATAATAATAATAATAATAATAATAATAATAATAATAATAATAATAACTTACTATAATTATCAAGATTATTATTATTATTAACACCATTAATAAAAGTTCTATTATAATAGTTTGTTGGTTCAGGAAGATTTTTAAAATCAAGTGGTTTAGAAATGTAGTAAGCTCTACGATGAAATAAAACTTCTCCCTTATCCTTTCCCCCCTCATTCTTTTCTGTGCCATTATTGTTGTTTTTATTTATAAAATCAGAGGCACGGAACGTCGTGCAAACTTCTAAAGAACGTTTTTGTTCAAGATTGAAATGCCAACGGAATAGCATTCCGGTTATTTCTTGGATAGTTGGTCTATTTAACGGATCAGCATCCCAACATCTTTCCATCAACACTATAAAGGACTTTGGGGCGTTTCTAGTTAAAGTTGGTCTGATACCAGCACAAATATCTTTAGCTAATTTTCCATCGTGTGGTTTATCATGAAATGGTGGTAGTCCAGATGAAACCTCGCACATTATCATTGCCAAACTGTAAACGTCAGCGGCAGGAGCAAAAGCGTCACCACGTAGTATTTCAGGAGCAACGTAAGGTAAAACACCGTAAAGTTTTTTCTTGTTGTGTTGTTCCAAATCGAATGGACCGTGTAAACCAAAATCAGCGATTTTTATTGCATCATCGGTTATTAAAATGTTTCCGCTGTGAAAATTACGATGAGTGTGACCTGATTGGTGAATATCTTCTAAAGCCATCGAAATCATCAATAACATTCTTAGTTTTGTTTCCCATCTCAACTTTTTTTGATAATCCACTATAAAATTACGTAAATTTCCATAACTTGCATGTTCCATCACCAGCATATATTCTGAAGTTGTTGGATCTTTTGTAAATCCATAACATTGAATTAAACCACGTGTTTCACATCCTCCTTGAAGATATGAACGAAGCTAATAGTAATAATAATAATAATAATAATAATAGAGGATTAAAATTTAAATATTAAAAAAAAATTTTTTTTACATCATTCAATGAATAAATTATTTACCTCTGAAAAAAAGTCATCTTCGATGTTTACAAAAGATTTTAAAGATTTTAGAGTAACAACCATGTCAGAACTTCTAATCCATTGTTTTTTCTTACAATCCCATTGTAATAGTTTACCATCTTTCCAATTACCAAAATAAACATTACTGAAACCACCTTTTGAAAGGTATTCGATATTAGAAACTTTTTCATAAGGAATCCATTCCAGCACTTGATTATGATCTCTGGCGTTCATTTGTGATTCTTTGATAAGACTATCAATTGTTGAATTGCCACTTGTCCAATTGGAAAATTCGTTTCTAAATCTTTTTGCATTACAAGAATTACACCATTCACCACCAATCATCAAATTATTTTCTATAGTTGGTTGTTTACATTCTGAGCAGTTTGATGTTTTTTTGTATGAGGAAGAGGAGGAATTTGAAGAATTTGAAAATTGTTTTTTTATTCTAAAAGTTGCTTTGTTTTTCGATAATACTCTATTTTCCGAGATACATTTCGTATTTGCTGCGCCCATGTTTTATGATGATATATTCTAAATATTATGTCTAATAATATATATAATAATTATCAAAGATTTGGATTCTTCAAGAATCAAATTTTTTTTAAAAAAAAATAGGAAATAAAAAAAACTTTTTTTTAAAAAAAAGAATTGAGAAAAAAATTTATATATATTTTTCCTGTATATTTTAGTTGCATTATGCATTGTATTTATATTTGTTTTGGAAAAGGAAAATTTGTTTGTTTGCAATATAAAAAAACACATAACATTATTTTCACGATAAAATAATCAAAATAATCTAATAAGTAAATAATAAACAATAAAATTCATCCATTCAACTGTTGCGCATTAAATTTTTGTTTATTTAAATTTCCTAACCCGATTTTTATTTGATGGTTCAAAAGAGAACAAAAATTTACAATAACAAATCATCATAATCATCATAAACATCACCACCACTATTTATTCTTATTGTAGAAAAAGAACACCGATCGAAGCTTTTCATTTTACAATTCATGCATTATTGTTTTTTATTAATAATTAATGACACATATATTAATAATTATAACTGGATCATCTTTATTATGCCAAACGATATGTTTATTAATAATCAAATAAAAAAATCTTTTTTTTTTTATTCAGCGTCTATATTTGGTAAAAAATAATCCCTGATTAGTTAGAAACTTTTATATTTGTATTTAAATATTACTAAATTCGAATTGTATTAAATGTTCAATTTAGATCAATTATATAACCTGAAAAGGAAATTTTTAGTAAAAGTTTTTTCCTTAAAAGAAAAAAAATTCATTTGCTGAATGTTGTGCAACCTGTTAAAACAAATGAATGTCCAGCACCTTCCACCTTTTTTAATGTACACATTTGTTTCATTACAGTTTTTCGTTAATCAATTAGTATTCATTAATATTAATATAATATTAAACATTAAAACAACGACATAATTTGGGATTTTTTTAAACTTTAAAAACAAAAAAAAAACCATAAAGGTGACAAATTAGTTAAAAGATTTAACATAACCAGCGTTCGTTACATTCAGGGTTTTTTATTTTTGAATTAGTATTAAATATAAACGTGATTTTCAAAAATGTTTTTGATTGATCAAATCTATCTTTTATATTTAGAAACGACAATTTAAGAGATTTAAGAGCTAATAATGGATAATAATGGCTGTTGGGGGTCGGATACATTTATTTAATTAGTAAATTAAAAATAAAATTTTTTTCGTTTTTTTGCCACATTTAATAAAAGTCCTGGTACAACATAATACACAACATAACCCAGTTGCCTTGTTAATAAATATTGTTGTTGTCTTGGCAGGACATAATCCAAGAAAAAAATATGTTTTATCAATGATGTTTATATATATAGACAGGCAGAAATATAATTATTTTTTTATTTATAATTTCCTATAATAATAATAAAGTGCTGTAAATGGTGACCCATTTCGTTAAAAGTTCATCTGCAAGCTTTGTTCAATAATTTTTTATTAAAAATAATTACAATGTAACTTTTTTTTACAATATTTTTTCTTCAAAAGTGACACATTTGGCATCAGTTAAAATTGCTTCTGCATTATTGCTATATCTTTACTTGCTTCAGCAGTTATATTATTTGCACGATCCTCCTCCTTTAATGCCATCCACATTTGCAAAAAGTTTTTCGTTGTATCAAAGATTGAGCCATCACTCGACATTTACGTGAAACAAAAAGTGTAGGAAATGGAAACTGCAGAAATCAGCAGATGATGTTAAGATGCGGGCGAAAAACGAAATGCCGAAATGGAGTAATAAATAGAGACAATTTCCATTTCATTGATTGACTGAATGAATAAAGGAATTATATTAGTATACAAAATGAGCTCACAAGAAAATAAAAACCGATTCGTATGAAGAAAAAGAGGTACATGGATGGGTGTGATTATATGCAGCAAAAACCTTCAACTTCTCGTATCAAACTTGTTATCATATTTTTATCTTGACAATAATTCAAGGTGGGAATGGAATAATAATTTATGGTTATTGTAGTACTACTACTACTACCACGTTTAAAAATATTATTTCAAATTCTCTTGAAAGTTTAAAATATTGAATAAAAACTCCTTTCTGTCATTTTAAATTCTGTTATTATTATTCCTTTTTTGTCAATGCTATTATTGTTTTTCTCGTATCCATAATAAGTGTGGTCATTTCTTTCAATAAAAATCAAAATCTTTATAGAGATTTTTGACGGAAGATAAAATAAATCTATTGGATAATATATATATATATAATTTTTTATTATTCTATTTTTACTTTGAGGGAGTTACCAAGAAACTTTTAAAAAAAGGAATTCAAATTTTTTTTTTTTTAGAAAGTTAAAAAATTTAAGGGGAGATCTATCCTTGATTGTTAGCCTCACAATAATCCGTAATTCATCATCTGAAGGGATTTCTAATTCTTTACTCCAATTCATTGTGTATTAATATCATTCATATCCCGAAAAAATTCCGGAAAGAAATAATGTAAATATTTGCATTATCTTGCAGAAAAAAAATCTCCTTTCAAAAAAAAATTTCTATTTGGCTCACAAGTCACATGATTAGATGGATGGTATCACAAAAAATGGATTCCATTCTTGGATTATTCACATTTCTTGAATGATCATCTATTTCAAATAAAAAACTTCAACCGATCAAAATTTTTATCGGACACTTGAATAATTGACGTAATGTAGATCCACCCTGCTTTATATTAAAGAAAGGAACAAGAGAATTTGTTTAGTTTAACTTTTCTAAAGGTATACCAGCACAAACAAAAGCTAATATTAAATCTTCAATTAATCATCTTTGCTGACATAATAAAAGACTATGTTCTTTGTTGCGCTTTTTCGTTTCTTCTTTCATAGGCTATTTTTTTCATGATGACCAGTATCACAAACATGATCATCTACCTTAATAGCATGGTTACAAAATCATCATCAACCCTAAAGTGACCAGATTTTCTGCCACTCTTTTATAAGACGTCACCTTCTTCCAATATCCTTTACCAAAGATCTAAATTATTTCTGAATTTAAAAGTTTAAAAGATATAGAATTTTCTGTTTAAAGCAAGTCGATGAACTTATTTACTGAATTCGATCTTGCGATTCCCTTTTACGGTGCAGATTCTTTTCTTTCCAACCTAACTATATACGGTTAACAGAGTTTATTTTGTTCAAATATTTTTCTAAAATTAGTTAATGCGCCAGATAATTTTTCTAATCATACACTTGTATAACTTCCAATAAATGCGATAATGTATTAAACCCGTTTTGTTATATATTTACGTATACGCGCGCGCACACATTCTAATTATTGATTGCGGTTCAAAAAGTATTAGTTAAAATTTGTATGCGTGATGGCATGAAAAAATCTATAGTCGGATTGATAAGTGACGCCAACCGTATTAAATTTGTATAAGTTTTAAAGATTTTCTATAATTGGAACAGTTGCAAAAAATCGTTATTCATCTTCAAATATGGAAATGAAAAGGAATAAAATACTGTTAATACTCTCATATTTTTTTTTCTTCGACCTCTAATCCTCCCTCCCCTACTTTCCTTCAATTCATTTCAACGCTTTATTTTTTATTTTTGAAAAATAAAAATTAAAGTGCTTTTCCTCTCTTTAATATTGTCTAACTTTGAATCAAATTCAAAGTCGTGTGTATTGATTTTTTTGATTTCGATAATTTTTTTTTTTGCTAGAAAGTAAATAACAAACAATCAACCATTTTATTGAACTTGTTTCATAAAATCTTGATTGTAATAGCATAACAATAACGCTATTATTGTTATCAAATATAGAAATCAAAAAAGCAAGTCTTCTCTCATTTACGCATTATTTTATTTATTCAATTCCTTTAATTAATTAATATTTTTCGTTTTTTAGTGTCAAACGAATCCCCGATTCACAAAATCGTCATCAACGACGTTACCGCCGACGACAACAACAACACCACCATTACCAATTCCACCATAACTTCCGATTCAGATTATAACGAGGACGAAACAAAATTCTCCGATTACAATGATGATGATGACAACGATGACGACAAAGTAATAATATCAACAACAACAAAAAAACAGTCATTGTTTGCAAAAATAAAATCATGGTATCATCCAACATACATAAAATCAATTGATGAGCCTGCTGACAAAGAACCAAGGCTAAGATATTGTAATGGACGTTTAACAAAACGAAAATTCTTTTGTCTTAATTTGGCAATATTATGTCTCTTCTTTACTTTGATATTCACTCCTTTAACCTATTTTGTAATAATACCGGCTTTCGTAAGATATAAAATTTCAAGTGTAAATCTAAATGATATATCGATCGATTATATGGATATAGTGGATTGGAGATCAAATGGCCTGTCGTTTGATTGGGAGGCTCATTTATCAAAACAATTTTTCTTGCCTTTAAATGCAAAATTAGATCCAATAAATTTAACTGTTCACGACCAAGATAATAACAATTTATTAATAATTTCTGTACCTGAAATGAATGTTAATATTGGCGAACCTATTGATTTAAAATTCAAAGGTGACATCACATTCGAGGATAATAGTGCTTTGTCATCACTGTTGGAAAAAATTTCTGCTCCTGGTGGAATTAATGCCACAAATATGGTTGCTTCAACTGGCATCTCTGTAAGTATGTTTGGAATTAATTGGTATAAGAATTTAGAAATTTCAAAATCAATACCATTACCTAAACTGGATAGTAATTTAATGAATCTTTGGAGTAATATGCCACCTTTCATAATGTCTGCTGATAGTAAGCTAATTTTTCTCACTCTCCCATTATATATATATACATACTGTATATACACATTGATATACAATCTAATAATTATATTTATTTATAGTGAAAAATATTACAGAAACAAAGCCTGAAACAGAAAGTGTCAACGTTGGAGGTGTTAACTCAACAATCGAAAAACCTCTTGTCATCGATGGAATCGAATATTGGCAAATTTTACCTGGGGTAAATGTTTATTTTTTTATTATAAAAAAACATTGATATTAAATAATATTAAATAATAATCGTTTTTGTTATTTATTAGTTTCCACCAATAAATTTTAAAGCTCTTGATGTAAAACTTATTGATAATGGTCCAATCATATCAGTGTCTCTATTAATGCAAAATCCAACAGTTTTATCAATTCCAATACCAGACACTTCAATTGCCATAGAATTAGAACATTCTTATTTTGCAACTACGAGTATCCAAGGATTCACATTGACCCGTGGTTTAAACACCCTCAACTTGAATTTGTCAATGACTTTTGATCCAAATAGAATAGTGACTTCCGATCAAATTGGTAATTCTGTATCTAAGGCATTCGGTAAAATACTTGGTGTAGATCCTAACAACGAAGGATTGAGTCTCAATGTCATAGGTCCAATTAAAATGACCGGTATCGATTCCATCACTGAAATAACTCAACACTTATCTTTAATCCTACCAATAAATGAAATCGTTAATAGAACAAATCTTAAATTATTGTCAAACTTATTAAATGTGTCAGGGGTTGAAAGTATTTTGCACACCGTGAATTTTAATGTCGATGTTCAAAATGATCGAATTTTTGTACCAATTGAGATTAAAATGCCTTCATTTTTGCCTTTGCCTCCAAGGTTTGATTTTCCTTATACTACATCGTTAGGTCTATTCAAAAATGATCAAAATACACTGGATATCATTTTAGATGGAATATCAAGTAACTTGATTTTTTAATTATCATGAAATATATATATTATTTATTTATTTATTTTATTTTATGATTAATTTTTTTTTTAAATCATAGTGACAAATGATGATAATTTGTTAATAAAAACAACAGCTCAAATTATTCCAAATAATACTTTATTAGCAGCAGATGCTCTTGGAAAAATTGTAAATCCAGCATTGAATTCTCAAATCAGTTCTGCAGACGTAAAAAATTTCAACATTCTAGATAATAGCAATAAAACATTTTCATGGGCCGATCAACTTTTAGGCAATCTCACTCTAACAATCCCGATACCAGGTTTCAATCTCACTTCAATTGTAAATATGCTAACTCAAAACGGTACGAACATACCGGCTCAAATAATCAATCTAGCTTTAAATCAAAGAACTGACATTTCTGGATTTGATATTAACGGAAACGTTACAATTCAATATCCACCACAATTACCAATAATCGCCATCAATACTGGCTATATCTCTACCACTGTTGATATTGATAGTAGCTTATTATTGACTGCCAATTTACCTAATGGTATCAGTTATACAACCGACCAGCCCTCTACTTCAATTGTAGCATCAGCATTACTAGACAAGAATAATATCGAATTACCTTTGAAGATCGCTGACTTGGTTAATGGAGTATTAAGTGAAAATGATTTACCAATGCCGATTTTAGGTGTCAGTAATGTCATATTGGGTACAAGCCAACAGGTTAATTTTGTTACATTTAGTAAAGTAATTGTACCAATTAACCTCAGTACATTAAAACCTGCTTTAAAAGTACGAAGAAAATAATGTTTATTATTATTATTATAATATCTACTTGGATTTTTTTATATATTTATACCAACTAATCTCACGTGGTTTATTGTTTAGACTGCCATCGAAACTATGACAAATTCGATTCAAGAACAAAAAGGATTGTTGAAGCTCAACGGTATAGATTTAGATATTCAAACAAGCACATCCATATCATTAAAAATGCAATCGACGCTTAATAATCCAACAAACATCACGGCTAATATTGGTCAAATAAGTCTTGGCGTGATTTTGAATGATGGAAAATTAGCAACAATTAGCGTGTCACCGATTCAATTGCTTCTTGGTCAAAGTCCATTGAACATTGATTTGGTAATTGAACTTGCAACCGGTGCAAATGGAATGTCAAATAATGTTTTACAATTGTTCCAAGATGTTACTGCTAAAGAAGGAGCGGAATTCAAATCTGTCATTGGAATAACTGGGATTGTAATTTCACCACCTATAACGACGCCTCAAGGAAACACGACTGCCGCGACAATTGATCAATTTAATGCCACGAAAATAACCGTTCCGTCATCACTTATACCAGCCTCAAAACTTCAATCTATCGATATCTCCAGCATAATTAAAGATCCTAGCAACGCTATTATAGATTTTACTGGTGTTTTGCCAAATGATCAAACACAATTGACCTTACCTACCATACAAAGTGTGACTGTCAAAACTATAGCAGATGCAAATTTGATAGCTGGTGCATTCTTTAAATACATAAATCCATTACCATTGAGTGTGAGAATTCCATATTTGTACTTTACATTATCATTAGACGATAACGCCATAGTATCTATGTCGATTGTAAATGTTGAATTGAAGCGTGGTGAAGGAGGGGGCACAATGTCTCCTTCCGCAGTAATAAAATTTTATAATTCGGAAGGAGCTCAAACATCCCTAAACACTTTTGTTGACAACATTTTAAATAAACAATTTTCTCAAAAAGTGTCTTTGTCAGAAATTTATTTTGGTCAAGCTCCAAATAATTCCAACGATTTGATTAGTCTGTTAAATCTAAATCTACCAATAGAAATTTTAAACGTAGAGACCATCATTAATAAAGTAATAGAACTATCACCAATTAAATTACCACTTGGTATAGATCAATTGTTAGGTGAATTTGCTCCACAATTAACGTCGGTCGATATATCAACCAAATCAAATAGGCATCTGAGTTTACAAATAGGAGCCCAATTAACAATTCCGTTTGATATCATTGCTGATGTTGGATTTTTTGCAACAAAATTATCGTTGGATGGTTCTTCGTTCACTTCGGTAACTGTTCCCGGATTGAAAATCAGTGGATCCGGTAAAAATGATGTCAGTTTGGAAATAGAACTGGGATTCAGCAATGATGATGCGGTGATTCCCGACTCTATCAAAACTATATTGGATAAACTGGCTGGCGGAGATTTTATTTCCACAAAAATCGGTATTGATGATTTTGTATTAGGTGTGAGCGAAAGTGACACGATAAAGACATTAGGAAGCATTTCATTATCAACAGAAATTGGTAATCTTGCAAGCGGGAAAATAGATTTCAAATCACAGTTAGACAAAATTTTAAGCGAACTGGCTAGCAGTACAACACCGATAATTTCAGTTGGCAATGGAACGATATCTCTCAATATACCAAATTTAGTTCAAATGGAAATAAGCAATATGGCAATTAAAGTTTTACCAGATCAAATAATAAACGTCGACATAACTACTTCAATTACGCTACCGTTTTCGTTAACAATGAACATTGGTTTTGCGGGCGTTGATGTGTTTTTGGATGACATTTCAGCAGTGGAATTATCAGTTTCAGCATCAAGTCAAGGCAAATTGGTCACTATCAATACACAAATGAAATTAGGCGGTGATAATGTTGTTGATTTATCCGATAAAATAGGCTCTATAACTCAATCGTTCTTTAATAATGAAGAAATTTCAGGCACTTTAGGCATTAGATCTCCGTTAATTGGATCTTCAAAAGACGATTTAATAAAAGCATTTTCACAAATATCCATAGAACTGTCGATGAATGAGCTTTTAACTCCAATATTTAAAAATATACCAAGATCAATAGATCCGATAACTTTGTTAGATCAATTCGGTTTCAAACTTGAATCAGTCTATGTAGCTTCGACAACTGGACCATCAATTGTTGTAAATCTTAAAGCAAGTTTTGTAAATAATTTTCCAATCAGCATGGATTTAGGATTTTTGTCGTTATCTCTTGGATTAGACAAAGTGCCATTAATAGGCTTTAATTTGCAAGATCTTCAAGTTGGTTCAGGAGCAAACAACGGTTTAACGTTGACTTCCGTTGTGTCTTTTATCGCAGACTTTGATGACGCACAAACTAAAATTGCGGATTTCGTTTCGAATTTACAAAAAAACGGACTTGGATCAACAACAGAATTAATAACAATCGACAACATTAAAATCGGTGCAACTGGGAATGATGTTATCGTAGCTTTAACAAAAGTCATCATTGGTTTGCCATCAAGTTCCATCATTAATCAAAAATTTGCTGAAAAATTACTTAATATGATCGGTTTGACATTGAATGATCTTACAATAGACGGATTGATCAATAGGTTGAGCATTCAGAAATTAAATATGAACTTATTATCGTCTGACAATTCCGGCCCAATGGTCGTTGATGGTCAAATCGGATTAAATAACATTTCATTCCCGATCACAGTCGATATGAATTATTTGGCTGTTACATTATCGTTGAATTCTAATGATCTAACACAGTTAACAATGACCGGCCTTAAAATCACAACAACAAATAACAATCAAATACTGACAGAATTTAAAGTTGAAATGCTATTAAAAGATTCTGATGGATTAGAACAAGATATCGCCACTATAGCTAAAACTATCATAGAAACAAATGATGTTATACCCGGAAATGCATTTATCACCGGATTGTTATTTGGAGAAAATGAAAATGATAACATCAATCTATTGTCTAAAGTAAGCTTATCATTACCATTAAATCCGCTTTTGCAACCAATCAAACAAACAGCATTTAAATTAGTCAATGGGTTATTGGATGGTACAAGTCCACTCAGTCTCAAGTTAGAAGATATTATATTGGGAGTAAAAGATCCAGATGTGATGAGTGTTGATTTCGCCTCGAGTATTGCTGGATTACCCCAGCAAATCTCTATCAGTGTTCCATTTGCAAGTATAGATATAAATTTCGATGGAGAACAATACATAACATCGGTAATTAATGGCCTGAAATTAGAAAATGGAGAATTTAAAACTTCAATCGATCTTAAATTTACCGATAATAAAACAATATCAAACAAATTGGCAAATATTGCTGCCGACATAGTTTTTAGAAGGCTTACAAACACCGTGACACAAAACGTTGGTATAACTAATATAAAATTTGGTGGCTCGGCAGATAAACCTTACTCGTTAATGAGTAAAATAAGTGTTGCTTTAGATGTTGGTAAATTTATCAATCAGACGGCCAAGTTCAATAATGATAATAATTTATTAGTCATTGATGATATTCAGGCTAAAGTTGTACCTCAAGGAGTTGTAGCGAAATTCACAGCTCCAGCAATACCAAATTTACCTCTAACATTCAATGTGCCTTCACTCTTGGCGGTTGTGTTCATGAATAATGGTAATGGCGTGGACTCGATTGCAAATGTTAATGCTCGACCAATTTTCCTAAAAAATAATCCCATGGCAAAAGCACTGGAAATCGCAGTACCAAATTTATTGGAATTCAAATCTTTTACACAAGGTGTATCGCTCGGTGGAATATTTTTATGCCAAAAAGATGACTGCATAAGCCGTTCAGATAACGACTTCAAGATATTCGATCAAATAATATTCCCGGCACCTCCTTTAATCTTATGGTCTCCCATTCAAGTATCATTGACAAAAATCTTGCCAATAAACCTTCTAATATCATTTACTAATCCCAGTCCATTACATATGGATATTGGTAATTTTAAATTTGCATTAGAAAACAGGGGTGATTCAATATTTGAGATATTTTCGCAAAGCTCAATCATAATCAACAATTTACTCGAAGGTCAAGGTAAAAATAGTATACCGATCGAAGCAAAATTGACATTGGATGTGTTACAAATTCCACAAATAATTATCGATTTACCAAAATTCGATGAAGCGTTTGACATAAAAATCACAGTTGATCAACCTGACTCGGGGCCAATTAGTTGGTTGAATGACCTCTTGAAAAATTTACCTAGAACTGTATTGAAAAATTTTGTACCTATCATACAAGGTTTACTTAAAAATATTACATTGGGAATTGGCTCTGCTAATAAAACAACAACTGCAACTACCAATTTAACTGAACCAACTGCAACTATAACTTCAACTACTTCTGCTGTTGAATCTCAAATTACCACCAAAGTATCATCGACAGATGCTATTCCTGCTTCCACCATTATTGCTAATCAAACTGATAAAAATAATCTATTTTCTGATAATCTAATAAATTTAAACAATAATAATTCCATAATTAGTTGGGTAATAAATAGTTCGGACTTTAATTAGACAATTGGAGAGAGGAAAAACACTAGAAAAAAAATAATTTTTTAATTTTTAATTTTTAATCTTTAATTTTTAATTTTTAATTTAATCTAGTTTTGTCATAAGTTTTTTTAAAAAAATATAGAATAAAACTTATAGAATATTATTATATATAATAAAGAAACTAAAATCGTGAAACATATCTTTAATAATTTGTAACCAAAAATTAATTTCCGAGCTCAACGCCTTGTGTTATGTTTGTCCAACAAGATTCGAGGTATAGATTACCAACCTCATCGTATTACCTAAGGGGTTGCACCCTACTAGTTGCCCAGCGTTATGCCATTAACATACTCTCCCGGTCCAAGAGTGGTCAAGCCAATTCCACTTTTGTATAAATTGCAGAATGATAGTTATACTCTTATGATTTTTCGATTTTTTTCAAAATGCTCTATTTAATTTGTATTGACAAAATCGACAAATCGACGAGACACAATGGAGAAAGTAGTCTTCTAATACTAATGTATATAAACGATTCGAATTCCATGCACTTTAAAGGTAACTTTTCTTGAGTAAAAGAAGTTTTGACTTGAAAAATAATCAAACCATATTCAAAGCTATTCGCTAAATAACCTATTCAGTTCGATCCTCACGGCCTATTATTTTATTGTCATCAATTAAATTTGCTCACCAAAAATTAACTTGGTAGCAATATGAATAAATTTATTACTCAGTGAGTCTCGATTTAGCGGTTTTAAGGATTTAACTGATAAATTTTCGAGACTTATTATAATTATTTTATCTTGATTTAACGGATTTAAAGGATTTTTCATATTAATATTAATAAATATACTAATACATTATATTTATTGACGTCATTTATCTTGATATTATTATAATTTTTTATAAATTACAACGAGTAACGCACAATTAATAATGTACATATTATTATTTATTATTATTATTAAGATTATAGATGATGTGTTATTATGAATAATAACATATGATAATTAATTAATGTGTAATAACGTATGTTAATTAATGTAAATAAACAAATAAACAGTTATATAATTTATTAATATTATAGTTTATTAATATTTTTAATGTGGGTTATGTCAAAAGATTAAAAAGTGAAATTCTTATTTCTCAAGAACAAATACAAGCAAGAATAAAAGATTTCTATAATGATAATGTTAACATTTTAAACGAATGAATGTGTTTTTTTATATTATTTTTATAATCAACTGTTTATTATCAAGTTATTTTTATATTTTTTTTTTAGTGTAACATA